GCTGGCCCCACCCGCCCGGGACAGGGCCTGGCCGTGCCCCTGCCCACCCCGAGCCCGCATCTGCCCTGGCCGTGGTCCCTCCTTGCTCCCGCGGGTCCGGGCCGCTGGGAAGTGGCCGCTGTGACTCGGCAGGTCCGGTCTGCGCACAGCCGCCGCCTCCGGCCTCCGCCCGGCACCCAGGCTCTCAGCAGCTGGGCTCTCTCCCGGCCCCTGCTGCCCTCAGTCCAGGCACCCCTGGACACCAGCGAGACAAGGGTCACGTGCGAGAGCCCTTACCCAGGTCATGTGCGCCTAGCTTCATCATCCCCTGGCCTGGAGCCCCCCGGCCTGCCCCCAGACCCCTGCCCTGCTGTGGCCCCAGAGACCCGACCCCGCTGGCCAGGAAGAAGCGTCTGGGCGTCCAGCTGGGGCCTGGCCACTCTCTGCAGATGGTTTTATTTGCAGGGTCCTGGTTTCGGCAGGCATGAAGTCTGTGAGGGTGGCCGGGCTCATGCTGACCGGAGGCGGAGCCAGCAGAGCAGGGGGCCCAGTGAGGAAGAGGCGTGACCCCTGCAGCCTCCAGGCCCGGAGCCCGGGTGGGTGGACGCTGTCCACTTTCCTGTCATCCCGGTGGACCCAATGTTGACCACAGACCTGAGGCCAGCAGGGTCTGGGCCTGGACCCACCGCTGCTCCTAGACATTGTTGTGTTGCTGGACCCACGGTCGATGTGCCCAGGCCAGTGTTCTGAGCCCAGGCCCAGCATGGAGAGACTCGGGGTCCACCCGCAGCTTTCGGATGGAGCCGGCTGCCCGCAGCCCTCAGGTTGTCCCCGCACCTGCACCGCAGAGTGGCAGAAAGAACGTGGCTTCGGGGAGCTGCGGGCCCAGAGGACCCCTGCCAGGGGGCGCCCATGGAGGCAATGTTTGTGGTCAACTGTGAGGGAGCCACAGGTCAGGGAGACGGCTGGCCTCCGCTCGGGGTCCTGGCTCTTGCCCTCACACTGTCCACCCTGCATGGCCCTCAGCCCCAACAGGCCGTCCCACACGGAACCTCCAGATCGCCACCCAGTGCCGTCAGCCTGCGACTCACCCAGGGGCTCGAGCTAGACTCGGCCTCGCCCGGGCC